CCAGAATGAAGATGAGGCAAAGCAAACCCCAACCCATGCGCCAGGGAGCGGAGGTGGTGAAGTCGGTGAAGTTCACATATGCATAGGTTATTGTGCTAACATTATAGCAAGACTAAGCAAACCAGACAATAGAAGGAATGGGACGATACATGTGGTGTGAGCCGCAGCACGGCCATAAACCCACCATAAGATGAATTTAATAGGGTTCTTACAACGAAATCAGTCTTTGTGTGAACCACAGCCGGAAAGCTAGTATTTGACAAATATCACATATCACATTGGCGAAATACGTCTACAAATGACAGCATTCGACCACCATTCATTTTCTTAAAGACCCGTCGTTTCAAACCAACATCTCCTTCCAGCTACAGCATCACCAGAGCTCCTCAGGTCTTTTTCCATTCCACTGTGCCATCGCATCCCATCGTCATCCGGCCAGACACTGGTCAGAGGCGGCCGGTCGGCAGTAGCAGACCCGCACCGGCGCACGCCGAGCGCGTGCTCACCTCCTCATGCTCGGCCTCGTCACCGTCGTCGAAGTCGTACACGCCGATGTCCTGGTCGTCCTGCTCCTCCTTCTGGCCCTCCTCCGCGTCCGGCTGTGGAACACCGGTCCGTCGGCTGTCACCTGGTCACGCGGCGCGCGGCGGGCATATCGGACCCCGGTTCAGAAGACGTGCGCCGGCAGCACAGCCATGAACCGGTCTGCCAGTCAAGGCGGCGCGGACCACCCCCTCTGCTTGTTTCCCTGCACAGCCTTATAGCCCTCACAGCCCTCACTTCGTGATACCGGGTTCGGTCAAGCCCTGTCCAGTCGAAGTTGCCCGCCCATACTGATTGTGAGGAATTTTCCTGCTTAGTTTCGTGCCAGGGACTAGCTCGCGAGACAGTACTGGCGGAGGGCTGAGGTGCCGGCCGAGCATCCACATCTGCACAGTACAACACCATGTGCTACCAATCATCAGCATGATCATCATTCATCCATCCACTCCAATAGTGGACCAATGGAAGAACACCCCAGCCAAACACGCCATGACCATCTCACGCCAGCGATCTACCGCGCCGTTCCTGCCACGAGCACCGCACGCCACCCAGCTCACCTGCACGATGAGGACGTAGCTGACTTCGTCCGAGTTGGCGTCCGAGGGCACGATGGTGACCGTCTGGTAGCTGGCCGAGCCGGCCACGGCCTGCGCGCCAGCCAGCTGCACCACGCCCGCGTCACCGCCGCCGGTGCCGGCGGCGGCTGAGGCAGCGGCGGCGGCGGCGGCAGCACGGGTCGTCACCGATCGCTGCGGGCGCCGGCGCCGGTCACCCGAGAGTCGCAGGAGCGGGAGGCGACGGGTGACCGCCATCCAGGCTCACTCGACGGCCATACGCACAGCACGGAAGGTGTCCCTGATCTCAGGGCTGGGCAGAACGAATAACACCTGCTTACAACTGACAGCACACAGCAGTAAGCAGTTCCACAGTTCCGATTAAGAAGCCAAGGTTGAGCAGGTACAGCATATGTTCAATCTTGACCTCAACATAATGTGCTGTTTGGATTACATCATTGACCACACATCTCCAACTGAAATGCAATAAAAATGCTTCACAACTCACCTTAGGCCTTCCTGAGTTAGTGACTTGCTGCTCAGGTTCCTGACGAATGAAATACTGCCCATTTTGGTCCATGTACACTTGGCCCACTTCACCTGCCCCTGAGGAACAAGCATTGAGTCACAAACAGGTAAGTTCTAGCAGAAAATGGTTTCAGTGTAATTATTTGTCATATCCTTGCCATGTATCCAAACAACACCAAGTTTGATGCAGGCATGGAAGGCTATTTCAGACATTCAGATGTAAAAAACATGTATATATATATATATATATATATTTATATATATAATAGATCATATCAGCACCATAACCATATGTACACCTACCTTGTTCATGTTGGTTGGTTTGGATCTCCTTTTGGAAGTTATCCAGATAATTTTGGATATCGGACATATTCTCAGCCTGGCCTTCCATTGCCATGGCTCACAAGCAGGAATTTCTGTAAAACAGTACACTGTCAGAATTCACTACAGGTAGCATGGTCAGCAAAATAACAACATACAGAATGTGCACACACATTAAACCAAACTTAAGCAATGCTGCTATCATTCAACCAGCCTGTCCCTTCTTTTTGTATCAAATCAGGGCATCTTGCCCTAACAAGCATCACTCTTATCATTTGTCCTGATCCTTTACCTCAACTAGGGACCAACCTGGCATAACCCTTTTGAGACCTTATGCTTATTACAGTGTAACCAGGGGGAGGGGTTCTGTCCAAGCATAACAATGTGTAACTGGTAAATGGGCAAGGGAGGCACATTGATAAATTGTCAAAAATGTGTGGCATAATTTATGGTCAGCTCTTTACAAGGCTGAAACTGGTTAAAATTGCATATGCCCAAAGGCAGAGTAGCAATTCAACATTTATACAAAACTGATGAGTAAGCCAAAGTAAGCTATTGCATTATACATAACTGAAGTAAAAGCAAAAGCCAATGCCTAAAAAACACAAAGCCAAAGCTGAAAGACAAAATAGCTCAAAAATGAAAGAAAATCTAAAACCTTTGGACAAGCTGCCACATCAAAAGGCAAGTAGAACATAACTTTGTTCATTGGTCTGAACACAAGGTGGATGGAGATGGGGACCAGCTAGAAATGAATAGAACTGGACATCACCATGTGAGATTGAATACAATCAGGAATCAATATGACTGCAAGTTACTGGATAGGACAAGACAACACTGGACAGGACCAAACAGGACCAGAGAAGAGGAACAGGCTATGCAGCACCTCAAAGTCAAGAAGTCAAGTGGTCAAGACTAGACTCTGCTAGAAATCCTCCTCAGCCAGTGCAGCCTGCAGAATGTGGCAGACCTTGATTAGTTCCTTTTGTGGCAGGGCTCGGGCAAAATACAAATTCTGGGTAGGTTTTTTTAATTTTGGGGCAGAAAACCAAAATAGTGGACCTATGGTACCCTGAGTCTGTCCTGCTGAATCACAGCCAAGGCTTTTTATCCAGAGCCCTTCAAGTGCTGGTTCACCTCGCCCAGCCACATCTGACTCTGGTCAGGTTTGCTGCATAAAGCTTACCTGCATAAGCTTACCATTTTTAACCAAAACTGGTGGCATTTGGTGTGTTCCTATGCATTCAACATGCAGCCCATGATTAATATTGAATTCATGCATAGCTGGTCCCAGTTTATATAAGACCCTTATTGACATCTGGCACTGGACTAGATTAGCCTTCTCAGTTCTTGCATGCTGGATAACATTGAGTTCAGCAGTTATTTTACATCAAAACTACAGTGACAGCCCTTTTGCTTTCCCTCAGGACCTGCTTACAGCATTTATATATAAATAAACAACTGCGACCTGAATCACACAATACCTACAATTCATGTGATGCTAAGCACAATTACAGGCCATGGAAAAGATAAGAACAGTAGATCTGAGTGAACTTCATGAGGTTCCCTGCTCCACTAACAAACCTAGTCTGCCTACCTACTTAAGGTAATAGCCCACAATTCAGACCAGCCAAATAGTCTAAAACTACATGTTTTAGCCTAAAAGTGAGACACTAGTCACACTATCTGTTTCAAGACTGCACTAGAGACATCTACCCCAACCTTAATTTGGAATGAGGAAAAGGGTGAACATACTTCCTGCTACTGTAAACTGCTTGCAAAGATATAAACAAGTTGTTTGCTTTAGGTAATCTAGATCCATTACCCAAAAGTAAGCCCTGCTACATCATTACAATTCTTTCTCAGAATCACAAAACAATACAATGGATAAGCTATTTAAGCTGCAAACTGAATGCACTTTGCAAATATCCTTGGCCTTGTTTCCCCAATAGCTCACACCAATGCCATGGGGATACTCAGGGTTCTCCTCATATGTGGATAATGATAAAGAAATGACAGCCAACACACAAATTAAGTCCACATCTCATTCTCAACCAACATATTTTTTATAACAGCACCCAAACCGCTCCAATTCGTTTCCCAATCGCACCTAGTCTGTGACTGATGCACCAGTGCCCCTACCATTGGCCAGAACCGGAATTATGACATTGAAAACCTAGGAGGCCTTCTATGTATCACAATATGTACCACTGTACAACGGCGTTAAGACGAACCTGGCCATCATTTCGCATAATTCGAAGCATGCATTCCACATCCTACCCCAAACATCCCTCGTCCCAATAAATCCAAACTAGCGCCCTCTCGACGTACTTTCGGGATCTGCTCACCGCGGGCGCTAGCGTAGAACAAACATGAGCGACCTCTATCGAAGGTCTCAGGAAACAAGCAAACAAAATCTACAGCAAAACACACAGCCGATAGTCATCTAAAAGCACGCATTGCACGCCACTCCCGATACAAAAATTCGGTGAACTCGCCTGTTCGCGGACCGGAGCACTGGGGAGGGAACAACGGACCGCCTAGCGCAACCAAGATGGCGACAGATACAAAACAATTCGTTTCTTCAATAAACGAAAAGGCATAAATTTTTAAAAGAATTGTTGAGCTGGGATACTAAATTACATCCTCAAACCTCGATTAAGTCACGTGAATTGAAAATTATGGTTAGGACAAGCTACACCACGCCAAAATTCGTAATAATACTGTAACTGCTATTACTTTGGCACATAGCCTCCGCTCAAACTCTGTACAGGCTTCACATATTTTCCAATATTTTGTAATTCGTTTTCTGGAGAAATTATTGCACTCATGCGTAACTAGTTGTATTAAATCTAGGCATGATTGGGCATTGAATCAACCTAAAAAATTCCTTCTGGAATACTTATGATTCTCGATCATCAGACTACATCTGGCGTTGACAAATGTACTGCTTCAAAGACAAAAGTGGCTTGTGCAAACCTGAAATACAGCTACCCTCATGTTGATGGGCGGCTCCGACGTTTGTTTTCATTTTCCATCGGCGTAAAGGTTAGCGGCAGAATTTTGCGGCCTCGCTGCATGTTAATGAATGCCAAATAGGCAATAGCTTTTAACCCAAGCATATCAAGGAAAAAGTAGAATAGCTTATTATCTATCTACCTGATTGCATATTCTGTTTATAGTCGGTAAGCATTTCCACCCATTGCGCCGGACTTACATGACGTAGGGCGCTGAACCCGGAGCGCGTGTGTGCTGGGCTCAGGCTAGGCAAAATTGAGCTGACACTGATTTATTGTACATTCAGGGCTAAAGTAAATAGTTGTTAGCAAAATTGGCAAGAATAATTATTCCAATGCCTTTAATGGTCTGTGCACTGCTGTTTCAGCATGCCATGTGTTATTCTCATGACTTGTTGCATGATTATTGTAACAGATTGAAATGCAATACCCCAGGTATCCATTAACCAGGTAGCATCACAGTCACGCCATTTACAGTGTGAAATGACAGGCTTGGGTAGTTGAAAGATTTTTATGTTGCACACCACGGTATTAAATGATGCTGCTGTCCTTTAAAAAATGATTTCCTGGGGTTTTATGTAACCTGACATGATCTATCCCTTTTCTCACTATTTTTTGTACCCCTTCCCCACTATATACCTGCCCCTACCCTCACCTCTGCCCCACTCCTACCCTTACCCCTATCCCAGCCCCTACCCCCACCCCCACCTCTAATCATGCTCCTATCCTTGCCACTTTTTGGCTACTGCAATGGGGATTTACTCCATGCTCACTTGACTGACCTTCTTATCATCAGTCAGCAGCACCTTTTGCACTCACATACTGTGAACACCATTGCCAATGCAAGATAGCATCTATCATATTTTCACAACATAGAGGATATGTTGCAGTTGCTGTTGATAGCCAGATGGTATATAACTATATTGCTGCATAATAGGTTTGCATGTAGTCAGCTTATAAAGACTGCTGCATTCCAAAAAGTGATATGAGCCTCATTCGACACAAATTTTGCTTTTATGCCTTTGTGGCAATTTTGTTTTTTTAATTTTTCATAGCAAGAGCATCATTTCCAAAAAATTGGCTAGTTATGTGCTGATATTAGTAGTGCACATGCTGAAATTATTCTTGGGATTTGGCTGCTATGCCAGATATTTGCATTGTAACATGTATATTTTCATATGTGCCTGACACCAATGTCTAGCTTGTTATCACCTGATGTCAAGTCACACTGTTGCTCGTTCCATAATGCCAGTTTATTATGAAACATTCATAGTTGGTTGTAGTATTTTTATTTATTTGGATCTGGCTTCTTCAAAGCCTTTTATTCCTGTTATTCTCATTCTTACATGCACTTAAGTATTGTAGCATAGTTTAGCTATGAACATGATGGCTGCATTTTGCTTACTCCCATGCAACCAGATTTCTAACATATCACATGTTTATGTTCATAATGTCCACTTCACCTTGCAATATATTGAACTGTACATGTGCAGAGAGGACGTGGCATTGCAAGGCCAAACCAAAAATGTTTCTGGGAAGTGGCTGTCGACTTGGGTGATAGTGGATTGCAGGCATATACATGTGTTCTCTTTCATTTGAAATCAAGCTTATAGAAGTTGCTTTGTCCAAATCAAGAGAATTCTAAAAACACCATCAAAATGGGCTCCACAGGGGGCTGCAGTGTGATAACTGCACATGCTGGTATTGTAATAAGGAGCCTCCCATAAGTAGCATCTCACATGGAGAGGGATGGTCACTTGATGTACCTAATATAAATGTAACAAGGGAGTGATATGGAAGAATTGGACAGCATCATTTTATCATAACATAGCAAAAAAACAACATTAAAATTGAAACCTTAAGATCAGATACCATTGGCTTTCACTCATGAAAAGGAATAGTAGTGTTTTTTTGTTTCACACCTCTTACCCAACTGGGGGCCCAAGAGACATGACCTTGTTGGGGATGTTAGTCAAGCTCAACACTGTGTAAAAAGGGGAGGGAGGTTTCTCTCAATGTAACCACCATGTAATCACTCAATTTATTCTGGGTTTAGAACACATTCTGCAAATGCTTAGGGTTTTGCTGTGTATAACATTACCATGTGATTGGTGAACCTGATCTGGGCCATGAGAGTATATTTCTGGCATCTTGAACATAAACTTGACATTGAAATTGTCCATTTGATGCCATATTTAGATGAAATACTTGGTAGCTACACAATACTTCATAGCCACCTCTGTATGTGAGTGTGTGTGTAACTGTAATGTGAGGTAATGTCAGCCACATGTTTGACATCATTTTGTATCTATGCAGGCCCAAGGATTAGGGGAGTGAATCCAGACTCAGTGCCACAATGTCTTCAAAAGCAGAAGCAGAGTTCATCTATGAAGATTTTGTTCTGTGAGTATGGTGTGGTCAATGTTACCTGGTAATAAAGCATGTGACCCTGTTTGTTGTTGGAGTGGTATGCCTCAGTAACTGATAGTGCTTCTTGTATTGTCATAACTTATTTTGGCTGCTAAAGCTTTAGCTGAAAAAACTGGAGTTCTGAGGAATGTGATGAAATTGACTTAAGGGTATCAATGTTCAATGCTGTCCAGAATAACAAAGTTCATAAGCAAAATTTTCTACATGTTTTGTGTAGTGGGGCTGAGGAGTTCTGTGCTGGTGTGTTATTGGTGCATTTTTGAAGGGGTGTTGCTCTATAAAGCAGATACTTTACTGGTCAGTTTTCTGTACATTTCTTCATGACAATACTTTCCAGCAGCTGTTTTTATTCATGGCCACCTGTATGGCTTACAATATCTGGTCCCAATCATTTGGGGACTGATTCAGATTTTTGCAGCTTTAATAAGCATGAAAAAATTCAGCAATAGCTGAAATGGACACTTTTTGTTTTGCTTCCCAAAATCAACTGAAATCGACCTTGATCTTGTGACAGGCTTTATGGATTTGGGTCTTTTTAACCATTTTTACACCTGTACAATTTTCTGCTTTGTTTTCTTCACAGGCATACTGCTCCAGAGAAGTTTTTCATTGAACCTCTTCAGGCTCCAAATGAAGTTCTGGTGATCGACCGAGTATCGCGGGACATCGCTCTCCACAGTAAGTCACTGATGATGGTGACTGTTGTCAGCTGCATTACTGATGCAAACAGTATGTGCATTTGACTCAAATCTATATGTTTCAAAAGCCACCAGTCATATTGGTATTCTTTGCATGCAGTACATGTTTCTCTTGTCGCTGTGGGCATGTGACCTTGACCAACCAGCCTCGGTAAAGAAAGGCGCCGCCGAATTTTGATGTTTTGATGCAGTTGTAAGTTCAACACTAGTGATACAAAAAAGCTGGGAAGAAGAACGAGATGCATCAATGTACACAGCACAGATATGCACCAGTCTGCACCAGACAGTGGCAGTGCAATGCAGTGTAATGCGACGTCTCCTGGTGGACGCCCAAGTCTGCGCCCGTCTGCCAGGGCTGCTGCTCAGTTGAATCCACGTCCGACAGATGGCATCACGGTGCCGCCGATCGCCAGCCGCCAGCGCATCTGCGGCCTGCTGGGCACTGTGCGGCTGCTCTCCGGCCCCTACCTGGTGGCCATCACGCGCAAGGCGCGCGTCGGCGAGCTCAACAAGTGCACCATCTGGCGCGTGGAACACACCGAGATCATTCCGTTCTCGCGCACCACCACGCACCTGACTGAGGCGCAGGTTAGTAGGGCGGTCACTGGACGGAGAGTCAATGGAACAGTCGGTGAGTGGAACGGTCATTGGACGACAGATCAGTGAAAAGATCAGCAGAACGTGACGTGCCCGCCTGTGTCGCAGCAGGCGGGGTGAGAGGTTTTGTTATGATGGCAACAGACGATGGTGAAAGGCAACTGAGTCTGGACGTTTTTGTGTCTTATTTTCTCAGCAGTGTGTCGACGTTAGGCTGTCGTGCACAGGTGATGGGTTGCGCTGTACTGCGTCGTGTCCCGTGTCGAGTATCGTGCGTCTGGCGGTCATTCGTCAACTGCAGCGAGTGTGGTCAGTACTTCGCCACCGTCGCTAGGATCTGCTTCCTGCGCTGTTACCGAATCCACTAGGAGTCACCGATTGCTCTGCGTCACCGCCAGGAGCGGTTCAACACCCAGTATGTCAACATGCTGGAGATGGTGCTGCGCCAGCCGCACTTCTACTTTTCCTACACATACGACATCACGCAGACCATCCAGCGACTGCACAACACCACGCCCGAGTTTTTGCAGGTGAGCGGAGAGGGAGCACTCCTCGCGCCAACTAGTGATCGAACTGTGCTGGTTCGTGGTCACAGCAGGTGTTGAAGTATCGGGCTGAATCCTCATAGTGCAAACGGCAGCGACCCGCACCGCTTTGTCGTATGCCTCCGATTGGTGGGGGCGTTCCCTAGAGACGTCAGTCGCCGGGCTGGCGGCCATTCCCCGTGCAGTGGAGCATGTGAATGGACCGAGCCAGATCAACGGCCCAGCTGGTGAGTCGGGTCCAGTGACCACGCTACGTGCGGCAAAACAATACGAATGACCACTTATGGCTCCGAGGGCAGAGGAGAACGTAACCCATATCATATTGCATTCCCTCCAGGAATACAGGCTCTCCCATGAGCCGCAAAGAGACCTTAAGATGCATTTATTAATCTGTTCTTTTTACATGCAATTTCATGCTACAATGCTTGCATTTTACCCTGCCAGATGCCAGATGACAGTGACCTTACTGGGGAAGGTGCCACTTAACGGGGTGCGGCGCTAGACTACGGCCGTCTAGGCTGGGCCGTAGTCTAACGCCGCACCCCGCTGCCACCCCCTCCCCGCTGCCGCACCTCGCTGCCAACCTCCCTCCCCGCTGCCGCAGCCCGCTGTCCACCCCCGCGTGCCCATGCGCCGGCAGATCCCGCTACACGAGCGGGCCGACCCGCGCTTCGTCTGGAACAGCCATCTGCTGCGCGACCTGGCGGCGCGGCCCGGGCTCGGTCGCTTCTGTCTGCCCGTCGTCCACGGCTTCGTCTCCATCAAACAGTGCAGCCTGAATGGACACCCGTTCAGCTGGTCGTTGGTGTCACGTCGCAACTGCTCCCGCGCCGGCACCAGGTCAGGGTCAGCGGAAGCACAGGTCAGGATGGGTGTGAGGTCAGAAGCACCAGGTCAGGGTCGGTCTGGGGTCAGAGGCACCAGGTCAGGGTCGGCCGCGGGTCGGAGGCACAGGTCAGGGACAACCACAGGTCAGGCACAGGTAAAGGCCGACCAAGGGTCAGAGGAACCAGGTCAGGGTCAGTGCTCAGGGTCAGGGGCACCAAGTCACATTCGTAGGTTCAGGTCCTCTGGCTCGCCGAGTCCCCGTGATCAACATCTGCCTTGGGCGAACTCATCCACTTCCGGGCTGGTGCGCTGTGACAAAAAAAAAAAACGCATCGGAAATCTTGGCTCTCCTTCGGTGGTCCGTAGAAAGCCGAGAAGCTGCATCTGTTGGTCTGCAGTTATTCCTATCCGAAGGTTAAGTGTGTGAGGTGGTCGGAAAGATAAGACTTGGGTGGGATAAAAGGCTGTCGTGCCACACTAATTCCCGCAGACTGTCTGGGCTGATACGGCCAGTTTTCTCGTGTTACCCGGCCCGACGCTGTCAGTTGTACTCAGCTGGGATCTGCACTTGTGGCTGCGAGAGGTGACATCTCCTTTGCTTTCCTATTTAATTCTGAAAGACTGGTGCGCTTGGAGTGAAATGGGAATGCAGTAAAGGGTGCTGCTTCTGACCTCCGATCAGGTGCACGATTTCTGGTGTCATGACGTCATTATGTATGACCTGCTGATGATTGGTGTCAAATACCGGCTACGTTGGTTGCGGTCGGCCTGAATTTGTGAGCGCACACAGCCGTCTTCTTCTTACTGATTTCCCCTCCGCCATTTGGAGTTTAACTTCAGCGAAGCCACCGGCTTGCCTGCAAGCCGTTGGCCCAGGGCAGGTCATCTGATCATGTGACCTGACCCCTGGCCAGGATGTTCATGCGAGGAATCGACTCGGGCGGCAACGTGGCCAACATGGTGGAAACGGAGCAGATCGTCGAGTTCCAGGGCGACAAAAACTCATTCGTGCAGGTAGGAAAATGCTTCCATGGATGAAATGGCGGCAAATGGGCTGATTCTGTTACCCTGATGCTGCCATTGCTTGTTTGCACTGTGACACTGTGAATCCACTTTTCCCGCGTATTGCTCTCAATTTCAGCTTTTGGAATGTGCTTGACCTGGTGTAGCATGTGTCGCCTGTCCATTACCATGAGTGAATTCCCCGATATATGTACAGTTGCAGGTGATCTAAACTAGTCCACGACATATTTGCAATGTTTTTGGGCACTGCTGGGTCCAGCTCTTGCGTTCGTGTCAGTTATACCAGTATCATTTCCAATTAATTTTAATCACTGCACAACGTGCGTTTACAGTATGTGGTCAAGTCCTTTTGATGTTTCCCTACGGCCGTTTCCTCGCCGTACCGGAGGTCCTCCGACACGAGCCGGCAGCTAACGCCGTGTGTCTCCCTCAGACGCGCGGGCTGTATGTGGTTAAGTCCTTTGATATGTTTCTCTGCAGCCGTTTCCTCGCCGTACCGGAGGGTCCTCCGTCACGAGCCGGCAGCTAACGCCGTGTGTCTCCCTCAGACGCGCGGCTGTATGTGGCTAAGTCCTTTGATATGTTTCTCTGCAGCCGTTTCCTCGCCGTACCGGAGGTCCTCCGTCACGAGCCGGTAGCTAATGACGTGTGTCTCCCTCAGACGCGCGGCTCCATCCCGCTGTTCTGGTCCCAGTACCCGAACCTGCGCTACAAGCCGACGCCCACGCTCTCGGAGCGCGACAACCACCAGGAGGCGTGCACGCGCCACTTCGACGCTCAGCTCTTCAACTACGGCAAACAAGTGGTCATCAACCTGGTGAGAGAGCGCCGGCCGTCAGCAGTGTGCTGTTTGGCGCATGCTATTTCCGTGCATTTTGTGTACGCACGTGTATTTTTACGCGTATTTTTGTACGTGCGTGTATTTTTTTTCCATACGTCAAAGCCCGGAACCAGGCAGACGTGGGCTACCAGCATCCATTACACTGAACTGCACTGTGTAAACTGTTCACCAGCGCTCCAAACAAACTAGGGACGGGTTTATTCTAAACACGCTGCTTGTCATCCTCGAACTTCTTCCAGAGAAAACGCGTCAGCACGCTGTAGGCATACCCTCCGATTTCACTCCGTGTCAGCGTATCTAACCCTTTATCGCCTTCGCCACACTCATGAGACGGGAGACATGAACCTAGCTGAGCATGTGTAAAACGTGTCTTGTACGCGAGCCCTCCAAGGGCAATGCTCATGCGCTCAGGCGGACTGAGTATCCAGCCGGTCGCCAGTTTACCGGGCTGCACTCCTGGTTGCCCCGCCCCGCAGATCGACCAGAAGGGCGCCGAGAAGAAGCTGGGCGAGTCGATGTCGTCGCACATCCGCCAGCTCAACACGCCCAACGTGCGGTACGAGGCGTTCGACTTCCACCACGAGTGTCGCCACATGCGCTGGGACCGGCTCTCCATCCTGATGGACCGCATCGCCGAGGAGCAGGAGGAGATGGGTGAGCGCTCGCCGACCCGCCTGGCGTTGGCGGCTCTCGTGGGCCGAGTGTGAGGGATTTACGGACGCGTCGGACAGCGCCGTGGGCTTCTCCCGACGTGTGAGGGGGCGCTGCGGTTGGATAGGCGCGGGTAAGTCCTCTTACGGTTCTCCAGCGAAGCTCACGACGTTGGACTCAGTGGCTTGTGTTACGAAATGCACCAATGTTTAGTGATTTGTCGTTGATGCAGGTCTTGAGCAATCTCGCTCGCGGTGCTTGCAAAAGTCAAGAGATGCCATTTTTACGCCCAACCCGGCGCAGTGATATCTTTTTGCTGACCGTTTTGCCCACCGCCTGACTGAGGCGCGCCTGCTGCCGTCGCCAGGCTATTTCCTGATGACGAGGGACGGCGTTCTGGCGCGCATGCAGGACGGTGTGTTCCGCACCAACTGCATCGACTGCCTGGACCGCACCAACGTGGTGCAGAGCATGATCGCACACCGGCAGCTGCAGCAGGCGCTCCAGGTGACGCGCCGTGCCGGGGCGTGGGGCGTCCCGGTCAGGGGTGCGGATTGTCCTGGTCAGGGGTGCGAGTGTACTCGTCAGTGTACTCGTCAGGGGTGCGAGTGTACTCGTCAGGGTGCGGTACTCGTCAGGGGTGCGGATGTCCTGGTCAGGAGCGCGAGTGTACTCGTCAGGGGTGCGAGTGTACTCGTCAGGGGTGCGGCTGCCCCGGTCAGGGGTGCGGGTACCCTGGTCAGAGGTGCTAGTGTCCTGATCAGGGGTGCTAGTGTCCTGGTCAGAGGTGCTAATGTCCTGGTCAGGGGTGGGGGTGCCCCAGTTAAGGGTGAGGGTGTTTTAGTCAGGGGTCCGGTGCCCTGGTCACAGAGGGCGCGGGGGAGGTGGCTTGGAGTGTGGGGCCCCCTGGCGACGGAGGGGAGGGGGCAGATTTGTTAATTGTCTGGTCAGAAATGGGGCCTCAGACTCCCGATTAACCATAGAGCTAACGTTATGTTGTGCTTGCGGGGAAAAGCTGTGGTTGTCATTGCTGGGTACACAAATGTTCCCTGTTGATCGATGATTCGTATGGACCATTGATCGATATTAGTGACGACAATTTCCTGTCCGTGGGCATGTGTCAAAGTGCCATGACGCTGCTATTGCTCACGGCTCCCCCCTTCTCCAGCGCCTGTCGATCCTGCGGGAGGACCAGCGGCTGGAGGAGCACTCGGGCTTCGAGTTCCTCTACAAGAACGTGTGGGCCGACAACGCCGACATGATCTCCATCCAGTACTCGGGTACGCCGGCGCTCAAGACCGACTTCACGCGCACCGGCCAGCGCACAAAGCTGGGCCTGGTCCGCGATGGCTACAACTCGCTCTGTCGCTACGTCAAGAACAACTTCAAGGACGGCTTCCGTCAGGTGCGCAGTGGTCGGCGGCGGGCGCGGCAGTGTGTGTGTCGGGCGTCTCCGACAGATGAGCAGGGATCGGCGGTGGACGCGGCAGTTTATGTGTCGGGTGTCTCCGACAGATGAGCAGGGGTCGGTGGCGGGCGCGGCAGTGTGAGTGTCGGGTGTGTTTCCCCGATGTGACGGCTGCAATCAAGCATGAAATCTGAGTCCAGCTGCATAGATGGACCAGGCTGTGATGGAGCTCTGGCTGGGCGGCTGGCAAGGCTCGGAGGATGTTGTGGACAGCTGGCGGCAAAGTGATCTGAACCAGTATTGTATTGAAGCAGGGAAGTGTTTGATTGGGACACAGAAATTTTGTTTTACCTGAGTTTCTTAATCGATTGCGTATTACTGCTGTGGGCGCACATGAATATTTTGGTTTGTGGTGGCGGATATCGCCGCTATCCGTGTTTAGGGAATGATCCTGCGATTTGCACGAGCTTCTTTAATTTGCTGCATCCTCTCCCTGTTTGGCCCTTATAAGTCATCGATTGTGCAACCGTTTCATTTAGTCAGACCGTCGCCACCGTGTGGTTCAAGTGCAGCGTTTGATGGTTTGGAGACACGGAGATGGGATGGACGCGTGATCGCGGCGCTGCGAGACCACACCTGGGCTCGCGTTAATCGGCCGCCGCCGACAGGACTCGATCGACCTGTTCCTGGGAAACTACCAGGTGGAGGAGGACGAGGGCACGGCACGGCCGTCGCCGCTGGCCGGCGAGACCGACTGGAGGTTCACTGTTCTGCTCGCGATCCTGCTCGGCAGCGTCTTCATGTTCCTCACCACCGTCCTAGTGCCATCTGGTGAGTACAAACCAAACTGGCAGGTCGCACGTGTGTCGCTAGGGCCAAGAATGAATGGGCGAATGCGCGACCGAGTGCAACAGATTCGCAGCGCATCGGTGACAATTTGGTGTTGTCTTAAATTTTCGAGACGCTTAGCTGCGTAGGCTATATGGGGCTATTGCCTGTTGCTCACCATGGCAAGAAAAACGGCTACCGCGGAGAATCGGACCCCTTACCTCAGGTTTGCCAGACGTGCACTGCTCCAGGTGAACTTGCAATTTGCTTCATTTGTTTGGTTTGCCTGAAACTCAATTGACATCCTCCGAATGTTAGAAAATGCTGGTCATTGTGGGATAAAATGTGTGAATCGTGAAGGTTTTTAATACAGCTGATCTGAATGCTTGGGATGTGGCACAGGCACATTACATGACATGGTGTTTAGACACCGCGTTCCAAGTTGCAATTTAAAAATGCTCACGCATATCAATTGTCAACACCGACGCACTACCATGGACACACATAGCGGTATACGTGGTCAGGTTTTGGCACCTCTTTGTTGGATTTATGAACGGTTTTGAAAATTGGGGAAGACAGGTTAGAAAGGAAGAGTGGATGGCGGGCAATCTCCATTGGTGCGGATGTTGATGGCCTTTGATATATGTTTACTTGACATCGGATAAAATGCATGCATTTGATACTGGCAAAAATGACCTTTAACTCCCAGGTATTTCTCATTTTACGCTCAGGAATATGTTGAACATCAGCTACCTGAGATATACCAATAGGTAGTGGTTGAATGCCGATGACGTTTTAGCATACCGACTCCCAACTCATGAATAATGTAGATATGCCCCACCGAGAACTATGCGATTAGAAAAGTGCCATGTGTCACCCACAAATTTCTTTTCTTGATGTAGCAAGGTGCCGAATGTTCGATTTCCTAAACCAAGATTGCGGCGTTTCTATTGGACCGGCTACTATCGGCCCGCAACAGGCGTGTACAAAACCACCTCCCAGTCGCTCACGACTTGGGAGAACACGACACAGGTGTCGGTTGCGGCCGCACAGGATTTCGCCACTGTTGACATAAACACCGCTGTCACATGGCCACTTCTCCAAGCGCGGCATGCCATGGTTTTCCCGCTCTCGGACGGCCGGTGATTGCTGCCGTGCTGTCGGGTCGTCAGTGTACGGACCGCGGGCGCCTCTGGCCAGCTTGCGTGGCCGCCGCCGGTCGGATAGCGCGCTGCCGTTCGGCGCGTGCCCGGCGCGTCTCTCCGACTCACGACTGTCTCACGCGCTGACCGCCGCCGCCGCCGCCGCCGCCGCCGACGACGACGCCCGGCGTCCCGGCCGGCCGCCGGCAGCTTTTCCGCCCGCCACCGGCCGCCCTCCTGGCGAGGCACGCCAGCGGCGCTGCGTGTAGAGGGGCAGCGGGAGGGGGGCCGCATCTCGGGCGGAGGCGCGGAGCCGGTGGGGGGCCGTGCAGGGTATTTGACCCGCTGCTTCCGGCGCTTCCTCTGCTGCCGGCGCCGGGGGCTGCTGTGGCGGGATGTGGGACGGCAGCCAAGCCTCCTGTGTGCTCTGATGTCGACTCTGCTGGTCCCTATAGAGGATACCTGATCTGCAAAAGAGTCGTGAAGGGACACGCGTCAACTGCTGGCCTATTGGACTTGGCACTACACATAAGTCCCACACCCATATGCCATGACGACCAGCTACTTTGTCTGCATTCGTTTAATATACGTAGGAGCCAGCGAAATTGTAAGCGCATCGCGCATTCCAAACGGAGGACACAGAGCAGGGGTGGCCACCGTCCGCAACATTTGTAGCCTGATTTCGTTGCTGGAGTGTCGACCCGACTGTGATACCACCAGTCGGCTGTCGCGGAACGTTCCGTGCTGAAGGTCACCGCACCTAAACGGGAGGTCACGTCAAGCGGAAACAGCACCCACAGTATCCGATGTTACCCGCCAGCTGGTCTTTGGACAGCTGGACGGGCCCCGTGTAGGCAAATTTGTTCAGCGGCTGTCCTTGTGCGCTGCTGGCATCGTTAGGATATGGCGTCTGCAAGCGCTGTCGGCAAGCCGTTGGTGTCGGTAGTCGCAATGCACGCATGATTTCGCTATGATTTCGAATTCCATTTGTTGCATTGCCTGGGCAAGTGTGTTGGGAAGGTCATGGTATGTTCCAAAAAGAACAAAGAAGATCAAACGTTCCAAAACGAACGTTTATTTTGTCTGGTACACACTTTGATGAATGTTAAAATAGCGAGGGTTTTGTAAGGTTGGGTCGGTAAGCCGCCACGTCTACGTCCGCACTGCGCCTCTGCGTTCTAAAAGTTCGTTCAGCGCTGAAACGATCGGTAATGTATAATTGAACGCTATTTTGCTATCGTAAATTTCATTGCATTGACATGCACTGCTGCTAGGTAATTGCGCAAACTTCGTTATTTTGTCCCAGCCCTGATCATCGACCGCTCACGATCAGCTGATAGACAATGGGTCGTGTTGCCGCCGTTGCATGCCCGCCCACTTTGTACTCCGACCAGGTCTGTTCCCATCTGGGATATCCACCCTGCGCGGGTCGGGTCACGCCCAGGCCCGTGCAGGCCCTGTTCGGCACGTCCTCGCTGTATTTTGCAAGCGGCAGTTCCCCGGGCGGGGCGTGTGCGGGCTGACCGGCCGGCGGATGTGTTACCGGCCTTATTAGTACGAACCGCAGATGGTTGGGTAAGTCAGGATTTGGTCGTTGCTTGGCCAGGCATTGAAATATCTCGGGATGTGGACGTTGTTTCGAGTTATGTCGGACGCAATAGATAGGCTTATGTCACAACTTCGTGATGGGATGATTGTCTTCAGCTCATTCAATGAAATGATATTGATCTGTAGGTCTCGGCGCTCCTTAGGGAAAGTGGTGCGGACGATTGACTGCCATTCTTCTCAGTTGACCTGCCATTTCCTCTGCCTTTTGGTTCAACTCGGCCATTGTTCAAGAGGTCACAACCCGGGGAAATTTAAGCCAACAATTACTTTGAAACGCTCGCGTCAGCTCATGTTTAGGAGCGGGTCTTTACGTGGGTGAACGGCATTGGGGGGGGGGGGGGGGGGGGGAAGCGAACTGCCAGCTGTGTGCACACGTCGAGTCGGAGTCGGGCAGTCTTGTAAGGGGTCTTGGTCGTGCGCGATGGTAAATTATCTATTTATTTTACTAAAATTATTATATTAGGAAGATTACAGATTTCATGTTAATAAAGAAAACTCGTGTATTTTATGTCACCCAAATGGGTCAGATACATGTAAAACATCTTTCTGAACCTTTGATCATGATCAAGATCATGGGAGCGTCTGGTGAGCTGCTTGGTCTGCGCTGTTGAGCGTCCGGCCGTGGCGCGTCGCCAGCGCGGCGACCACGGCGGCACGGGAAGCAGCTCAGCACGACTCTGAGGGGATGGAGGCGCGCCGCCGGCTACAGGCGCACCCGGCGGCTGGGCAACGGCGCAGGCCGGCGCCGGGTCCAGCGCCGGGGTCGGCCGGCGGCTCGGTGGGATCGCCACCGCCCATCGCGTCGCCGTGCGCCGCGCCGCCGCGCCCGGCCGGAGGCTGGCCGCCGCTGCAGGTCAGCCGGCGCCGGCCCGTTGAGAAACGCGTCTGTCGCCGTGTTGCGCCACGGGTCGCCGGCGCGCGGATCTGGCGCGCGGCCGTCGTCCGACGACGCCTCAGGCGCCGGGAGGGTGTGACCCGGCTGGCTGCGCCGCGCCGCGGCCTGCGGCGGAGTCAGGATTGGTGTTGCCCGCTGCTTGCGTGATACGTGTCTGGTCATTCATTCATTCGTTGGTAGCGTGCAAGGTCTGGGGGGCAGGGGGTGGGGCGGGGGGGGGGGGGGGCTGCGGGCTTGTCCCGAGTTGAGATGTGGTGTCGGCCGTTCGCGATGGACCAGCGGCGGGTGGGGTGTGACGCAGAAAGCTGAGACATGGACGCGGGCCCGGATAAAACTCCCGGATGGAGGGATGCGGTTAGGGCGGCACACGTGCAGCCGTCATGCATGTCGGACACGCTGACCGCTGAGACTACACCGGCAGCTGATGGGGATCACGGCGGTGTCCGATTCCGCCCGCAGGCGTCACGTCGGCATTGGCAATGCTCGCGCGTGGAACGATCGGGCATTCAGCGAACTCCATAATTAGAGCGCGGCAGCGTGGTGACCCTTACTTTGGACAAAGTCGCCGCCCACTATTGCGCAGCTTGCAAGTGTCTGCTGGTGACTGGCCGTGAACTGAACTCACGAACAAACTGTTACCAGATTTCCTTCTACTGCCCTGGTTCATTGAACTGAGGTGGTAATGCGGTCCGTAATGACCAGCTCGCTCATGGGCGTTAATTCTATTGTGGGCCGACGATGTGAATTGGACGGGCATTTGTGCACGAGTGTTAATTCGGCACGTCACGAGCAAGACGCTGATGAAGTGTGGACTGATCTTTGCTAAGATGTGACGTTTTGTGAAGATCAGGTCATAACAGATTTTCTATATTAGCTGTACATTTAGTCCACGCGATTGGAATGTCGTAATGGGATCTCGCAGGTTGCAAACGATTGCTGCTCGTTTTGTCATCTGCCTTTCAGTGTGTATCTGATGTGAATGAACCACAGCGTTCGATCGCTTTTCGTGGTGGCCGGTCGATGATCGCTCACGGCACGCTGTGGTGGTGGATGAGTGATGGTAAAATCTCTGTATGTCTCATGCGGGTGATAGTTTGTAAAGATAAATTCGACTAAACGAGGCTTTAAGATGTTTAGAGCAGTGGAAAGCTGGTAATAGAATCTTTTCTACCGGTCAGTTTAACCATCTAGACAAACTAAGTCGCATGAAGTATGCAATTTTGAAAACGAGGTGAAGATGCTTTGCAGCGTAATGCGTCATTTGTTGATTGCGGCCTTATTTTGAAAAAGCGTCCCAAAGTGTGAGGCTGTCTTGTAGTCAACGGGGCATCCTTTTTGACGGTGTTGAGGGTTTTAAG